GACTTGCGATGTGACTCTGTTAGTTTTCGCAAATTGCTACGCCACTCCCAGGTTCCAAAAACAGCTTGTACCACTGACACATGCAGTTCCTTCACCAAGAACACTACAAACGAGAGGCCAATAAAGAAAAAGAGTCCTGATGCAAAAAACAGAGCCTTTTTCTGAAAGTGACGCGTGCCATAATATGAGACGACTCCTCCAAACCAAAAGTTGAGTACCATCAATAGCAGCACTAAACCTTTCCACGCATCTTTACGATTGCCTCGGAGTACCTGTCCGAGGACAATAGCAATATCAGTGGTGGATCCTCCCAGGGCAGTCCGAATTAGGTTAGCACTGAAGATGGAAGCCACGCCATTTTGGATACCTGCTGCCGCCGCAGCAAATCGAAAAATGTACAAATCGCCAACCTCGTTGGCTGCGAAGACGCTTGACGCCAGCATGAACATTCCACCAATCAAGAATGTAGGACCATAAGACGGCTGAATTCTGAATGGCGTAGTTCGCGGTGTCAAACAACCAGATATAAAGGCACCAAGGAAATAAAACATAATAATCCCAAGCTCCACTCGTGCCGAAAATCCATCACCTGCTGCCACGTCCAATGCTATCTGTGTGTACGAAGCGGTGTACCCGGCAACGGCACGCCCTGTATCATGGTAGCTGACTAGTCCCGAAAGACAGCTTCCATTCATATAGCCGGTATTGAAAGCCATCCAAGCTCCAGCAAACAAGACGTAGATTCCTTCCCGTGTGGAGTATTCGTCCCCAAATAGTTTGATGGTTGCCTCCCTGACCCAAGACGCCTTATTTTCGATCGAGACTCTGACTGACTGTGTATGACTCCTCCGTCTGGCGCGCTCCATAGAGACACTTCGATGATCTCCTGAGAACGCCTTCACTGCAATGAGCTTGTCTTCGGCTTCTTCTCGTGCCTGTTCGATAACAGTTTTCATACTGTTGTTTGTTTTAGTGTTGGCCTCCTCTTTCTTGAGTCTCCGTGCTTCAGCTGATGCGGATGCATCTGCTTCCACATCGCCGCTAAACGAAACACGAGACATTCGAATCTCTTTCGGGTCTTTACGAGATGGATGAAAGTGTTGGAGACGAAAAGTATGCTACTGATCCAGAAACTTTTGCTTGTCGCGTTTTCTTTGTTCCAAATCTTTTCTAGTACCTTCATATCCAGGTCCTTATTATGCAGAATATGGACAAAACAGCTTTTCATTCCGAAAACACACACTTTCATTCTTCCCAAAGTCTTATCATTTGCCACTCTCACTGAGCCTCTGCTATATCATTACCATGACAATAGCTGGGACGAACAACGAACACTACGAATGAGTCTTATTGACCATAAAATCATGCAATCCATGCCACACTAAACAATGTGCTGCCTGTACCTTGTGGCAAGGTTGGATGGGAAAAGTCTACTCTCAAGCAATGTACTCTAGATGCAAGTCAGGTAGCGGACTACAAGATTCACAAGAAGAATTTTAAGCCGTCTAGTCGGCGGTTTTGCCTGTTTTTAAATCTGGCGACTATTCTTCACTGTTTTTCATTTTGCTACTTTTCAGGCGATCTTCCATGAAGGACAAGGAAGATTTGGATGAAAGTGTTGGAATTTTGCATGACATCGTCATGAATGATTAAATGACAAACATACTGGATTTCTATAGCTTTATTCCTTCGCAAAATGGAATTCCAATCCCAGCGCAACTGACCTACTCGACGAGGCGCATTGCATTGATGGATAGCTTGTGGGAAGAATCGCGCTCCCGCCATCTTGAGGCAATTCTTGCAGCTGTAACTTGTGTCAGATACACGAAATGGCTTTTTTGAAGCTCTACGTCCTCAGATGTTCGTGGAGCTCAGTTCTTGTTGGCCCAAAGTATGGATTCAACCACGACGTCGTCGCCGTCGTTGAAAGCTTTCTTAACGCTCTCGAAAACTGGAAAAAAACGATGCCAGTAACTTACTGTTCCAGGCGCGCCAACTACTCATACTAGCAATTCTATACCTAGTTGGCAGCCTTGGGTGGACAGCACAGGCTACATGCCAGTCTGTTGCCTATTGGAGTTAAGAATGCCAGGTGACTTATTCCATATTTCACAAGTAGAATTGCGAAGGTGAGGAGTCTTCGGCGGTTTTGAGTGTAGCGACTATTTTCAAATGTTGTCCATTTTCTATGCATGCTACTCTAGATCTTGAAGAACAAGAAAGCATTGAAAAAAAAATCGCACAATTGCGTCACCACCGCATGGATGATTCAATGAGTATTTTAATAACGTACTGGATGTCTATCACTCGCCGAATCATCGACCAGATGCTGTGATGCCAGTCCGAGAACAAGTAAGCTACTGGATGTCTGTGGAAGAGATCTACTCCTTACAACATTTGAAAATGTCCCATCTGGTGTTCTACCTTCGAGCCCATCTTTCCAGAAACCTCAAAACTTCAACTGTTGCCAGCTGACGAGCTGCTGGAATAGACCGGATCAGTTTGAACAAAGCACTCAAGTCAATGCAGTCAAGATCGAAGCAACCACTCCTACTCCTGTAGTATATTCAAAAGAAATAGATTGGCAAATCCTGTCTATATTTGTATCTTGTATCGATCACTTTCTCCGAGTTTTCAACAATCTCCTGTCTCTTGCCGTCGGGTTCTGCGACTAGAATTGCAACGTGCCTGCGCTATGAGACTACTAACAGGAGCGCCGAAGTAGCCAACAGCACCTTTGGAACAAACGTTGTGGTGGGGGTCTGGAGTAGTAAACAAAAGTCTCCATTAGTCATCACCCATGAACATGTCCCAAAGAGTGCTGATAATACCGCTTCCCGTATCTTGATCGACAGATTCTGATACTGAATCAAAGACATCTGTCGTTGTTTGCGAACTGTCTCCGCCAAAAAAATCTTCTCCTGATTGTCCAAAATCATCCGAGGCGGAAAAGTTTGTAGCGTCATCATCGGTAAACATGGGCTCGTCACCAAACGTGGTTTCGTTGCTACCACTGTCGGCAAAGCTAGTTTCCGAAGCAAAGGAATCGTCACCAAAAGTCGACGAGGATGCCGGTTCCGTGGTGTTGGTGGATCCCAAAGTACTATTGGAAGCATCATCACCCGCAGCATCTCCAAAGAGTGCCGATGGCGATTCGGAATCAACGCCAGACGATGCCACGGTCGCTTGTCGATCCGCATCGATGGCTGCATCCGTTGACGCCACCATTTCTTCAGGTGTGGCATCCCCCAAGGCTTCGCCTGCAGCAGCACCCGCAGCAACGTCTCCTGCGGTACCTGCGTCAGCATCTCCAGCGGCTTCTCCACCACCACCGCCGCCCATACCAGGAATGGGAATGAAGGGTCCAACTCCACCGGCCGGTACACGGCGGGCAATCTCTCCAATCATTCGATCCGGTGGCATTCCCTGTAGCCAGACTGGAAGACAATGTCAAGATTATGTGAGCACATGCACTTGCAACATTGGTAATACTGGCAATTCCACCATTTGGTTTTGCATTCTGCGCGCACATTACTACATACCTCGTCCTGGTCCTTTTAGCGTTGCCACAAAGAGCCCTTCGCCTCCAAACATGACATTCTTGACTCCCTTCATCATTTCAATGTCATAATCAATGGTGGAAGTAAAACCAACAATGCTCCCGCAAGTCGCTCGCAGCGTTTCTCCTTCCTCCAGATCCTTGGTGACAAGAGTTCCGCCCGCTTTTACGAGTACATCTCCCTCCCCAAAGAGCTTTTGCAAAATGAATCCTTGTCCTCCAAAGAAGCCCGTGGTCAGTCTTTTCGTATAAGCCATTTCAATATCTATTGACGGATTACTCGCCAAGTAGGCTCCCCGTTGACAAATGATAGTGGAATCTGGATAATCTTGTAATGACAGACGCACAATTTTGGAGGGAAAGTCGGTTCCCAATCCCACGGTTCCCGAGTCTTGTCCGTGATATCGAAACTCGGTCAAAAAGACATTCTGTCCCGTCATCATGCGCGAAAAGGCCTGAGAAGCCCCGTGCAATTCGGTGGACATTTCAATGCCCTGTGTCATGTACAACATGGCACCGGCTTCGGCCCGCAAGGTCTCGCCTGGCCTCAAGGTGATGGTAGCAATTTGGGATTCTTCTCCTTCAATGTTGGCGGCCACTTGAAAGTCAATGGGAATAGCAGGAAGATTCTCCTCCTCTTCGGGGGTCTTGGCAGGAACAGAAGAAGAAGAAGATGATGATGATGGAGGAGTTGACGAAAGACTTCGACATTGATATGGAGCTTGCGGCGTCAGAGGTATTCTCTTCTGCCGAAAGATTTGACGACGAGCAGTTGCGCCAATCCCTCGTTGGATTGTTGTTCGGACAGCTGCTCCATTCATGTTGATGCAATAGATGCGCTGAACTTCGTTTAAAATATGTGTAATGCAGTATGATATGAGGAAATGGAACAATAGGAGCTGAAAATCATCTTTCGTTGTTGTTCCTGTTTTCGAACTGAGGCGACGTACGGACAAATCACGAATTAGTAAAGTATGAAGGAATAATGAGTACCAGGTACCAGGTACCTGGTACCGGTAGTCAAAGTGAGCTTGAGTAGAATCCACTGGTACAGTTAAAGCCATAACGCCATTGAAGCAGTGTCATGATTATGATATGAAGCAGAGTCATGATTATGTTTTGAAGCAGTGTCATGATTATGATTGATTCGTTCTACGAAGTATTGTACTTTAGATTTGAAAAATATAATGTGATATCAACCATCTATTAGAATAATATGTTTACGAATCTCCAGCCGATGCTGACTCTGCCTCAACAGCGTCAATAACCTTCTGAGCTTCCACCTTGTTCAAGATGTTGTGAGCACATTCCCCGTCTTCCATCGACATGGTGTAGAGTTCCATCTTTTCGGCAGCAGCTGCGGATGTAGTTCCATCCATCGTCTTGTTCAAAACCTTGACTGCCAACTTCAGAGCCTCTTGCAAATCAGGAATAGATTCCTCTGCTTCCTCTCCAGTCTTGTATTCGGTCTTGAGTAATGACTTTCCAGCTTGGTTATTGGCTCCAATCACAGTCGCCTTCCAACCACTGTAGTTTCCTGAAGGATCTGATTGATACAATTGAAAGCCGTGGTGTTCATCGTATCCCGCAAACAAAAAGGCCACTCCAAAAGGACGCAGACCTCCACGTTGTGTGTAAAATTGTTTGTAATTGCAAACATATTCCACCAACTGCTCCACGGGTATCGGCTCCTGATATTGGTACTGGTAACGTCCTGCCCGGAGTCGAGCTTGATCAATCAGAATATTGGCATCAGCCGTCAAACCAGCAACGTTACAGGCAGCATGCTTGCATAGCTGATAAGTCTTTTCAGAGACCTTGGCAGGAGCCAAGAGACCGCTGGTAATTCGGCGTTCACTGGCCATGACAATTCCGTCCTTGGCGAGAATACCAACACATGTTCCGGCATTGTTAATGGCTTCAATGGCGTATTCAACCTATGTGATGTGAATTTGAGTGGGAAGTAGTAAATGAAAATGGTAGAGAGAGAGAGGGAGAAAGTTACATTGTCAGCACATGTAAAAAGATCATTTGTAATCCAAGGCACCCCGAAAACAGAAAACCTACTTGATGAAGACGACCCTCAGGGGAGAATGTGGTTGTGGAAGAATCGTAACGACGGGCCATTTTTCTGATAAATCAATTCAATTATGTTGATGGATAATGTGAATTGTTTCTGGTATCTCTTGAGCTTGTACTGAAGATGATTCAAACAAAGTCGAACGAATGTTGATGTTGTCGTTACGGGGCTTGCGAAGATAGAGGGGAAACGAGCCGAAGCAAAAGGATCGGTGTCGAATCGAGGAACTGGATTAGTGTTAGTTTAGGTCGAAGGGATCCTTTGTGCGCAAAGATATCGCGCGACGTTCAAATGGCCAACCGAGGTCACATCTCACATCATCGAACAAAATCTCAAATCACGTCGTTCCACCACAGTACCAGGTACCGGTAACATCCGACAAAAGAAAGATGACGACAACAGCCACAGCACCGGACGGCTCGAATGGCCAGATGACTGGTGAAAGCAAGGGTGTTTCCAACTTGAAAAATCCTCCAAGGACCAATGTCTGCAAAGGCTGTGCACTCGCCTTTCCTTCCAAGAACAAACTCTTCAAACATTTGCAAGATACCGATGGCATCTGTCTCAAGGATGATCCACAAGAGTATGCCAACTATTGCAAATACGTACGGAAGAAGAAGAAGCTAGACAAGGTTCTGATTCTCTTTGGGTACTTGCCAGTTGCCTCCTTGATCCGAAATGGAACCGATGCGGCCACTTTTCTCATCCACGCGATGGAAGAGTGGCAAAGTCAACAAGAGGGATCAACGGACATATTCGAGCAGCCAGACGAGTCAGAACGAAAGTTCAATCGATCTTATGGGCATGAACAACGAGGAGTGGATATCGTGGCGCAGGACAATGACACGGGTGCCATTACAGAAGTCTTGTCCGTCAAATTGCAACCTCTGCCGCCCAATATCACGGTCGACAATCTCTTGGATGAGGTTCAAGCCATATTGAATGCTCAGTTTGCTGCTGAAGCTGCAATTGTAGTACCAATTCGCATTCTGGGACGACAAATTATGAAACAAGCCAAATTCAGTGCGGAAATGGATTCGACGAATCGACGAGTTGAGTATGTCTTACCAATGGACTTTTTGAGTTGGTGCACTCCTGAAATACAAGATCGGCTGGAGGCTCTGCCAAGCTTTTCGGAGAACAACAAACACAGTATTGGAACACGATTACCGCACTATGCCAGGGGGAGCTGTTTCTTTCCCAATGGTGCAGAAAAAAAGGAAGATGAAGGCAAACAGGTCGAGGACAAGCCCCAAAATCTACCCGATGTGCAAGTCCTAGCGTACTTGCACAAGCTCAAGAAACTAATGCAATCGCTTTCGACACAAATAGTTCAATTGGACATGAACGACAAGGCTGCAGTCATGGAAAAGGGATTTAGTTTGCAAAAGCGACGTAGGACTAAGCGTAGCAAGAAGGAAGACAGTCGTGCTCAGGACGACGGAGAGGACGGTGACGATGGTGATAATGATCAAAGTAATACTCCCAATGTGGTTGCCAAACATAAGATGCTCAAGCGAAAGCGATTTCATAACTTTACTGAATCTGTCATGGGTGAGTCACTTGTTGTTGGATGTGTTTGGAGGCACTGTTGTCTGCTTTTTCATTTGTTTTTTTCTTTCTTTTCTCACAAAAGTTTATGTTGCTCCTATTGCTCACAGCTCACGAATATTTGGCATATCGGCGGCTAGATCGAATGTATCATAGGGCTTGCTTGAGATTTCCAGAAGTAGACCCTACCTACAACAAGCCTTTTCTCGTCGTTTCTCTGACAGGAGACCTATTTTTGACGGGCCAAGTGCTGCGAGTCATTGGATTATTCCTGTCCATTGCCAATGGATTAATCGATGCGGACATTGTGGATTGCGTGTTTGACGAAGAATATCCTCATTTGATTCCTACGCCACCAGTCCTGCCCTTGGGAATGATGGCCGGAGAGGCCAACTACATGACATGGGAAGGAAAGGTGAAATCGATTCTAACGGCACGAAAAACAGATCGATATCCGAATGGGTGGAACCAAATGAGTACATTGCAACGAGTCAAGGATTGGCAAGAAGTTGTGTATCGAGAGATTGCTAGACGATGGTTGGTACAGGGAGTGGACAAAGAGAGTGGGCGACTAGTGGCTGAGAAAGAATGGACGGAAAGAGTGTTGAAACCGTGGGCCAAGAAGGCCAATGAACAATTGAGTGCCTATCGCACTTGGAAGACAGAATCCGAAATAGCAATTGGAAACAATCCAGAGAACAATGCGTCTGGTGAACAGAAATTTGAAGACCCAGCACTACCAGCTACGATCGATGCTACAGTACCCGAGTTGTTTGAAAAGGTGTTGTTTCACCTTCGAAAGATAGATGAAACTGCTCAATGGCCTTCTACTACACTCAAACGACAGCTTGTGATGGTATCAACGAACAAGGACGCAAAAGAGGACGAAAAAACCGAGTCCTTGTCCATGGCTCACATGAAAGCAAAGAACAACAAAGAGACCAGATCGTCGGCGTATTCTTTTGCTGAGGGGCAAGGGGGGGCAAGCGGAAGTTTTTCTGTTGGCTACATGCCTGGAGGTATCAATAAGCAGCCAAAGTCGAACTCATTATTCCCTGAGTTGGTCCAAGCTGCCTTTGAACTGGAGACAAAGCTCTTTCCGAATCGTGCTAGCAGTACAATTGCAATCAACCGGAATGCCCAATTCCGACCTCACACAGATAGTGGAGCTGGAGCGGGACAGTCAACGAGTTTGATTGTCGGTCTTGGTACCTACAGCGGCGGAGAGCTGATGGTGGAAGGGGAACAACACGATATCCGATATAAGGCAATCGAGTTCAATGGATGGACCGAACGTCATTGGACGATGCCGTTTTCTGGAGAGCGATATAGTCTTGTCTGGTTCACGCCAAAAGGCTGTGAAGGTATGCGAGGGATTGACATTGAATTTGAACAGAGCTAATAAAGGAAGACTAAGTTTTACAGTAGAGTAAAGTAGCTCATGTACCTTTTGACATGGCAGACGTGTACGGAATCTGGAACTTAGAACTCTGATTCAGAATTTAACGATTCATTCACGTCCGTCCGTCACACAGCGACGACATTTCTGAATCTTACAACAAACGAACCTACCGGTATCCATCAGCACAAGAATCCTTACCCTTCACTGCACACAAGAGTAGAGTAGAAGAGACTTCGTTAATAAGTGTCAAATGTCTTTCGTTGCGCAAAATCTTGGACGAGTTCCATCGGCAAATAAACGGTTGTTCTCAGCAGTCGTACGCAAGAATATTTCAGTCGAAGAACGAGCTGCTCTTCGAGCTGCCCGTCGAGAACGTGCGAATCAATTTATTCAAGAGGCAACGGGGGTCGAGAACGCGACAGCTGGAACTGCGTCTTCGACGAAGGTCCTTACATCCAAGTACACCTGGTATGCTGCTATAGGCATCCCATCAGCCATACTTGCATGGGGATTGAGCGATGAGAACAGTCCACCTGCTCAACTCTCGAGGGAGCTCGGGCTAACTGGATTGATTGAAAGTCTATCTGATTCATATGCACGACCAGCACACGCAAAGCTTCTTCCCGATTGGTCTCAGGTAAGAGCGGAAGTCTTTTTTATTGAGTTAGTTTGAATGAGATTGAGGGATCTCATACCCAACCTTCGTTCGTTTTGCAGATGCCAAATGTTCCACAAGATATTCCCGTTCCACACACTCTGGTTCTTGATTTGGAACAGACACTCGTCAGTTCCACATGGGATCGCAAATACGGATGGCGCCACGCAAAGCGTCCTGGTGTTGATAAATTTCTCCTGGATATGGCGCAATACTATGAAATTGTTTTGTATTCTCCTTCCATCGACGGTGTAGCTGACCCAGTCGTGAACAATTTGGACAAAAATGGATGTATCATGCACCGTCTTTACCGTGAAGCCACACACTACAAGAACGGTGTCCATGTGAAGGACATTAGCAGTCTGAACCGCAATATCAATCGCATCGTTGTACTTGATGATGATCCAGATGAGGTCGCGTTCAATCCAGAGAACTTGATTAAAGTGAAAGCATATGAAGATCCAACAGATCGTGAGGATAGAACGTTGGAGAGAATCACTCCATTTTTGATCGAAATCGCAAGAGAGAACTACAACGATATTCCCGGATTGTTGCGACAATACCAAGGAATGGATGCTGATGAAATTGCAGACGAGCAAGAGAGGAGAGTTGAATACTTCCGACAAGCTCGCGAGGAACGATTGAGTCATGGTCTTGGTGGACTAGCAAAAATGGCACGAAGGACAGTGGATATTCAACCTGAGCTTGATCCTCGCAGCACTTCCTTCGCACCAGCAGTGCAACAACTGACGTCCAAGGATTTGGTTGGTGCAGCACCGCCATCTGCCAGTGCTGATAGTGGACTTATGGGATTCTTGAATCGTCGACAGGAGGAGAAAGAGGAGGACCAAAAACGTAAATTTGAAAAGTGGAACGAAATTATGATGCGAAAACAAAAGGAAAAGCAACAGCAACAGGCGTAAGATTCCATTTTATTAAAATTGATCTTGATTCTCCTTCTTCTTGAGCATCGGGATATTCTTCGTCGCGTCACCATCTTAGTGCAACATCATGCGTAACCCTTCCTTTTATTTAGACTTTTTCTCCGGCCGCAGCACGATTGATGTGTACCTGACGAGCCAGCATATCCAAGCTCAATCCACTACGTCGAGATACTCGAGTCAAGTCATCTTCGCTTCCCACCAAAAACAACGTTTGGTCCCCCTCGGTACTTCCACCTTCACCTTCGTTGCCAGTCTCATAATCAACCTTCAGCAAAGTAGTTTGCAACTTGCCAAGTCCAAAACTTCCGGGAACTTTGGTAGCCTCGCATGTAACTAGTCCTGTACGGTAGGGTGGTCCAGTAGCCCTCACATCAAAGATCATTTGAATTCTAGGTGGCCTCCAAGTGGGGGATCCAACGGAACTAGCGTCCTTTGTTGTCAACTTATCCATGACAGCTGCTCTCAATTCCATACGACCAGCGTCCAATCGATAGGACCGCAAGTTACCCGTGACAATTCCATCTCCCAATACGCCTTGGACTTTTGTGTCGTTAATGACCTTGTACTTGCAATATTGGTAGACAGGATCCGCTCGAATGTACAAATTGTCCGCCACCACTGCCGCTATTCCTCCAAGAACTGATGAAAGGAATCCAAAAAAATGAAGAAAAAACAATGTTAGAGCTGGAATAAAAATACAATAGCAAACGAAAATCCACAGGTTGAAGCATGCCATCCAAAATCCACTATGACGTATCCACTATGACGTACCGCCGGCAGTTCCAAATCCTGCATAGAATCCCCATTTGGCAATGGTGGTAGGAGTCAAATGGGTAAAGAAGGATGTAAATTTCAGCGCAATCCGGGAAATACCATAGGCAAAAATAGTCCCTCCAGCAACGAGGGCGTAGAATTGAGCTTTGGGAGACATGACAGTGGATAGTGTCTGAGTCTTGGTGCGTTCCAGAAAGGACATGGATTCCTCCTCTTCACTCTTGTTTGGTACAGGAGTTGTGGAGGAATACCATCGTACAGAGAGTTGTTGACGACGATCATTATTATTGGTGTAAGTCTGATGATGAAAGGCTGGCATTCCCGATGCACACGCTGCAGGCATTACTGTGGAGGCAAGTCTCGTGTTTGTTCGGATTACAGACGACCAAACAGCCTGCAAAGGACGAGCTTGGTCAAGCCCTTGCTTCCACAGCCTCATTTGTTTCGTTGTCAAGCCAGATTTGATCATGGCTTCAATAAATATACCAATAGAAAAAGAATGCAATCGATTTCAAAGGGGGTGAAAAGATCTGAAAAAGTGGTCGAAAGAGTCAAAGATGACCTTGCATTCGTTTCATTTTGCGATTCGCTCGACACCAACGATCTCTTGGACTAAACCATTACGACCATACGGTGTGAATCATCATGGTAGAGTACAAGTATTGATACCGGTAGTTTACAGCCTATCTATTGATTTATACATATAGAGATCGTTATTCACAACTCAATTGTTTTGCAATTGATCGCTTGTAGCTATACGGAACAAGAGAAGGAAGAGCTTCAGCTCTCATGGCAGTCCAAAGAGATCGTCCAGGAGGTTGGTTGGTGTTTGTTTGTTGTTCTTGCTCCCACCACAAAGGCCCAAACTCTGTCTCCTTTTGCTGCTCTTTTACAGATTTTGTAGACGATAGTTTGGATACGACTAGTATTGTTGCTCGGATATTGCCTAGTCGAAAGGAAGGCGTTCGACACTGGTCCACATGACAGTTTGCCTTCTGAATGGCTTCCATCATGGATTGAACATTGCTCTTGTCGATCAAGATTCCCATTCGACCCGTAGCTTTCAAAACTCGCGACCATTCCCTCATGAGATCTTCATATAAAGCATCCGAGTCCTTTTCAAATTGACGTCCAAATGGAGGACAGCATACAATCTTGTCCACCGAAGAGTCCTTCCAATCACTAAGATTCCTCGCATCGACACCAGGTTGCAATTCCACCGCCACATTGGTGGCCTCTATATTTTCCTTGGCATTTTGTAGCTGATCCAAGGAAGTATCCATCCCATAATACTTTGCCGATGGCCATATCGTCGCTGCTTCTACTAGAAAGGTCCCCTTGCCACACATGGGATCGATGACCACATCCTCTGGTTGGATATCGATAGACTTGGTCAACGCAAAGGACTCGACCCGTTTGAATCCAGGTTTGGGCAGCTCGAAGGTTTTCGTGGGTCGGTCCAATAGGACTAATTCCAAAATGACACTGGACTCGAACAGCAACAAGTGAAACTTGAAGGTGGGTGCTTCCCCATTTGGTGCAACATTCCAATCAAAGGTATCTGCCATTTTGTTGGTCAAACTCCGTCGCATGGAAGAGGGTGACACTTCCGAAAGGACAAAGGAATTCCATTTCTTGGCCGTAATCGAAAAGGAAATTGGTTCCTGTTCTGCAAACGAATTCCCTGCTTGTTCCCAAATGGCAATCGCATTTTGAATATTCTTTACCTGACTGTTGCGAAGCATGTACGAAGCAAGGGTATCTTCAATATTGTCATCATCACTTGTTGCTTCGACAGCGAGATATTCCGCCGCGACAATTCGGATCGAACGGGCATTGAGCGAGTGTAGTTTGATAATAGTAGGGGTAGAAATATCAAACCAAGCCCGACCTTCGTCGAATCGTTGCACCGCATCCACAAGATTCTCCAATTCGATGCGAAAGGCTTGCGAAAGTTTCGACTTTGGATTCGGTGATGGGGGTACTGCCGTATATTTATAGACGAGTGAAGCTACCGAATCATCAAGGAGGCATGTGATCCAAATGATGAATACCGGTATAGTACATGGGTACACGACCCAAACTGCAAGTTGCATACTCTACAGTAAGTACCTGGTACCAGGTAGTGATGGGCCGTCGTTTTTATGGTTTATCCGAGGATTATTGATAAGAGCGTTGGAATTATAATACGAATGAATCGAGTAGGAAGCAAGGATGAAGCCACATATGTGATCAAAAGGATAAGAGTGTACTCGCACACACGGGTACACGAATAAGAAGTGATGGGTCGTCGATGGGATTCGATTTCGTTTTTATCAAGGTTGAAGTTACGAATTGAGTAGGAAGCAAGGATGAAGCATTGCGATCTTCGTGCGATTGTGTGACAACACTGACGTGTCGTAAATTACTTAACAATTTGCAAATTTTGTTAAATAAAATTCGGCCACGTGTCGGAGGTACTTATGGTGTCTGTCAGCTCGTCCAAACGATACCACATGACAGGTGCAACGCGTAGGTTCTGTAGGCTTTGTGTCGTTCTATCTCTCAACATCCTCTGTGGTACCAACCATAGTTTTGTGTGCCACAACGACGCTTTGTGTGCTGTTGTAAAAAAAGTAAGATTGTTGGATGCGCATCATCATGGAGGACAAGAGCATGAAACTTCGGCCCATGAAACGGCAGAGAGTCGAGCAGTCTAGTTCTAGTAGTAGTAGTAGGAGTAGTAGTGATCCAGCAGAAGTCAATACAACAACCACGAGTGTTAGTTTGACCGATTTGTTGCGGGCTGGAAAGTGGAACGAAGCCACCAAACGAGTCGAAGAGAACCCCAATGAGGTTACTGCGGCTTCCGATCCTTCTCCTCTTGCCTTGGCCTGTCGGTTTGGAGCATCTGTGGAATGCATTCGAAGAATTCTGGAGGTTTGCCCACAAAAAGTCCGTCGCTTGTTGGATTCTCGAGGAACTCCCGTCCACGAAGCAATCGTGTGCGAAAATGTGGGTCCCGATGTGATTGGTTTGTTGCTTAAGGCAGACGAGGAACTTGGAGCGGATTCACCTAGGGCTACTGTCATGCAAGATGTGGATGGATACACACCCATTCACCTTTTGATTCGAAGGCGATTTCAATCCCATGTGTTGGGATCCGGGGAACACTTTATGGAATTGTTGGAAATGTTGGTCCAAAGCGCACCAGAATCGGTGGTGATCCCGGATCGTGGAGAGTACGAAGAACCACCCTGTGTCATGTGCTTGAAAGCCAATGTCTATGCCCCACTCTTGCAATTGGAAGGAGCCACCGCGGTACGAATCGAACGAGACATTCACGATATGGTACGGTGCATGCTCCAACATTATCCAAGTGCCGCCAGCTGCGTGTTTAGTGGCTACCGTGGCAAATATACCGCACTGCACTCGGCGGTTTTCCATGGAAGATGTCCCGATACCATTCGCCTCCTTATTGAAGCGGAGAAACGATGTCCGACCTCCTCGGAAGAAAAACCGGGACTCTTGGCCAATACCCAAGGGGAATTGCCTCTGCACTTTTGTTCCATGCGCGGAGAACCACCCCGAACCGTCGCTCTATTGGCAGCAGGGGCACCCGAAGCGGTCTCCAAGCGGGATGCTTCGGGTCTTACTCCCATGCATTGGCTTTGGATTCGGTTTGTGAGCACCCTTCTTGCCATTGATGATGCGGAACGAGGAAACCTGGCTTGTATTCCAATCAAAAAATCATGCAATATGAAAACAACAGAAAGCAACAAGTATTCCTCGTTTGCATTCTTGGAACAAGGCGACTTTGAAGCAGACTTGCAATTTGTCCGAAGAGTGGATCCTTCGGTGGACTTTTTGCGAATGAGACACATTCCGGGGGAAGTTTTGGATGAAACGGATGCGCTGAATTTTGCGAAGAGAACTGAAACGATCCTTCAGCATGTTCGTGATCGACACCGCCAATTGGGCGCTGCCAACTTGGACGAGAATGATGATAATGATGGTGAAGTTCTCTGGTCACGAGTCGAAACGGTCGCCAGCTTGTTTTGGACAAAGGTTGTCTCCATGTTAAAGGCGGTAGAAACCACCAGTGATGATCAGGATGGGTTCTCATTGGTACAAGCCGCATTTAAGAGTCAGTACTGTCCACCTCAGGTTGGAAGAATTGTCGCTTCCATGTATCCAAGCGAAATGGCAGACAAGGACGAGAATGGAATGTTGGTTCTCCATCACGCAGCACTTCGGCCTTGGCATGCTTGGGATTGGCCACGGAATACAACCTCCGATTCGGCCAATGCACAGCTTTTGGAGTTGGAATCAGCCTCTCTCCTAAGGACGGCAATGGAACTGTCACCATTGTCGGCTGGAAGTCAAAAGGACGTTACGGGACGTCTCCCAATCCACTGTGCCATTCCTACCTTTGTTCGTGCCTTTTCCTCTAGCGGGAGATTGTGCACGGAATCCTCTGTGAAAGAGATTCTGGAACTATTGACCATGTTTGTCAAAATGAATCCAGATTCTCTGCACCAAACGGATCCAAATACTGGTCTATACCCCTTTCTACAGGCAACTGCGGTCTCCACGGAAGAGGCCTCGGCTTCTGCGGGATCTTTCCCAGAAGAGTTTTCCCTTTCGGCTGTTTATACCCTTCTTCATGCAGATCCGTCGATTGTTCGATCTGGTATCAGATGAAGATGTTATCAAAACACTTAAAGCGATGGCGCATGGCTTGAAAATTGAATGAAAGAGTAATCCGAGTCGATTCAGAGCAAGGCTTGACGACAGCCTGCATATACATCTTTGAACATACTACATACGTACTGCGTATCCTTACTTACTTACTTACTTACTGCCCTCCCCTCCTCGTGAGCACAAGAACTACACATTGCGAAAAGCAGCCCCCAAGGAAATCAGGACCGAACATACATTATTACAAGGTTACCCATACATAGCATTTTAAAACAAACTCTTCATGAAAAACGGAAAGACACTATAAATGCACAAATCTTACAATCTCTGTATATAATACATGAATCCTTATTTTATTACTGTGGCCATTCTTCGAGAAGACTTACTCTCAAGAACAAAATATCAGGCAAATCCACAGGCGCATCATCGCTGTGTGCATATCTGTATTTATTATGCCTTCATTCTTCGCTCCGAAGAGTGCAATGTACTCAAAAAGTTAGGTGCAGATATTCAATTCCTACGCGGATTCAGGAATGTGGCGAGGCAAGTGACTGCCATTCGCAATAGTATCTTCCGAGACTCCCAAAATTTCTCCAAATACTGGTCCGCTCTTGATCTCGCCTCGGGCTTCAATCTCTCGGAAAATGTCAACAAAAACATCAGATCTCGCGGCTCCATCCACTACATAGGAGCCTTCAATGATAAACTTGGGGATTCCATGCACTCCAATTTGCCTAAGACCATCCAGCGCGTCCATAATTTCCTTGCGACCCTGATTACCATTCAAAAAATCCAACAACTCCTCGGGTGAAGGATGTTCCTCTTTCAACAAACCAGACATGGTCGTCGAGACGACTTGTGCGAGCCTTGGTTTATCATTCAACGAATGACCTTCTACAAAGTAGTATCTGCGCCGACTTTTAAGTCAAAGATCTAGAAAGGTGCCAATAGAACATACGAAATATTACTTACTCATTCAGACGATCATAAACAGCCTCACTCACAGCCAATCCATATTTCTTTCCAATGTGCTGGATGAGACGATGCGATGCCATTGTGTTTGCAGCAAGTCTATCAAGATTGAAATGCTCGATCCCAGCCTCCAAGCCTCTACCCTTCAAATCGTGACGCCTTTTCTGCTCTTCCCAACCTTGCTTTCCGCCCCACTTTGTGACAAGACGTTCCCGATTGCTTTCGACAAACGGCTTGTCTTCATCGTACCCCGGTTCCAAGAAAAAGGGCACTCTGATCACGGAAAATGCAAGTGGCCGCGGTGCATTGGGTAGTGGATTATCCAATACTTCATCAATAGCGCGATTCAAGTGCTTCTTTCCGATGTATCCTGTAGGTACAGCAGTCCGAAGAGTTGTTAGAAATTGGATTGTACCGTTGTCCTCTGAAGCTATGCAGTCTTATCGTACCGTTGGGTCATAAGGTGTCCGAAACCAGTTCGATTGGGACTACCAACGTGGAAAGAGAACGTCTAGCATGCATAGAGCGGACACCAAGAGTGGAAGCGACCTTTCCCAACATTGTTTGCAATTTGTTTCGGGTTGCAATAGGTAAATAGATGTTGTTGGGTTAATTATTGTTTATCGTGAATTGTGCAGAGAAATTTCTCGCGGGCGACTGACTTCGGCCAGTCATCATCACTGCCAACAATATTCAAGGATAATCTAGTAGACAACTAAGAGAATATATATTCAAAGCTGCATTGGTAAATTCGTCTTTTATCATAGTCATCTCATTGCTTGAAGTTGAAGTTTGGGGGGGGGATAGCCCCCTAGGGGGCTATCTGACCCCCGATCGGTTAAAAGTAAGTTCAAAGTCCAATCTGATGATTGTAGTCAAACTGATCGTTCATCGTCATCACAACTTCCATCCATCCATGTCAATCGTGATGGCACAAACGCTTCATTCGAATATAGCGGGTGTACGAATGCAGCTGCCATGGTCAGAAACAAAGTGTCAACAAGAATGTTCGCGTCTTATCCAAGACCGAAAGAAACAATCTCTCACAATCGATCTTTTGTTCGGACTTGCGAAGCACGTACAACAGAAGACATCGCAACACTTATTGCACAAAGCTTTAAAATATGAGCAGACTCGTTTTTATCCCCTTACAGATCCTCCTTGTATCGATAGACATCTTGGTACGTGCCATTGAATGAATGCCTTCACTTGGAATGCAATGTCTAGTCACTCATATAATGTTTGCCATATCTGCTTGTGAAGCTGTCAATTGTAACCTTCAAATGGGTAGGAGTGATAAAGAAGCTTCTTGCTAGCGATCCGGTTCGATCTGTCCCCTTGAAAGACGACCCTTCCCATCGCGTGCACGCAGACTTTAAGGAAGCTCGTGTTTCTGTTCCATCCAATGGAGCTCGCACCATGTACGAAATTGCTAACAATGGATTCGTGAAACACTCTGACAAAATCTGCATGAGACAGCGCGAATTCGTCGGTTGGAAAAGTCCAAAAGTCAAGGAATTCTCCAGCAAGGTCCATGAATGGACATTCGCAGATGTTCAGAAGAAGGCTTATAGCTTTGGAGCAGCTTTGAGAGCGAACGGATGCGTGCCATCTGACCCAAGCACGAACCTTGACAAGATCGAGAAACCTTGTCGTATGGCTATTTTCGAAAACACTTGCCCCGAGTGGATGGTATCTTGCGTCGGCGCGTTTTCTCAGAGCATTGGTGTTGTCACTGTGTATGCTACATTGGGCATTGATAGTGTCATCGAAGCCGTGGTTGACAACCTTGTTCCTGTCATAGTCTGCAACAAGACAAACGTGAAGTTTTTGGCCGAAAATGCCAGTCGAATGCCCTCATTGAAGGCAATCGTATACACAAACGACTTGATCGCAAAGGACGACAAGACGGATATTCCAGAGGCACCAAGCGGGCTGAAGATCTTCAGTTTTGATGACTTTGTGAAGACCGGAGATGTAGTTCAGTACCCTGTGAATCCCCCTACTCCTGAGACTACAGCTGTTGTTATGTATACAAGTGGTAGCACCGGCAAACCAAAGGGCGTCGTCATCACTCATGCCAGTGCCACTGGAGCCGCTGCTGCTGCGGAAGTTGCACTTGGTCTCACTCCTTCACATCGCTACCTTGGATACCTTCCTCTGGCACACATCATGGAACTCATGGTTGAATTCATTTGCTTTGGAAATGGAACTTCGATTAACTATGCTGATCCTAAGAGTCTTACCCAAACTGGAGCTTACCCTATCGGAGCGCTGGAACAATACGCGCCAACACACATGGTTGCTGTCAGTAAAATCTGGGAAACCATCAAGAAGGGACTTCTCGCCAAAGTTGGGCAATCCAGTCCTGTCGCTCAAGTGTTGGTCCATACAGCTATCCAATGGCGTACTTTTGCCGTCAAGCTGGGACTAGACACACCATTGTTCAATGCTCTTGTTTTCAAGAAGTTCAAGAAGGCCGTTGGTGGACACCTCGAATGGGCACTTTCTGGTGGAGGTCCGCTTAATGGAGAAGTTCAAGAATTTATTCGCGTTGCGTTCAACGTTCCACTGATCCAGGGATATGTACGTGTATCCATTGTGTTCTTTTGTCATTTCCTCTTTTCTATGAATTCATATCTCAAAAAATATATATTGTCATGTCCTCTCGTATCTCAAAAAATCCACCTCGCAGGGTTTGACGGAAACCTGCGGTGGACTGGCTGTTGCTGATCCTGACGATGGGCGCCCTGGAGTTGCAGGTGTGCCCATCGCATCGGTTGAAGTCAAGCTTAAATCCACCCCCGATGTTTGCGACAAGGGTGGACTACCATACATGTCTACTGATCGCAAGGATGTGGAGGGAAACCCTGTCTGGGGACGCGGGGAGATTCTTGTCAAGGGATCGAATTTGACTTCCGGTTACTATATGATGGCGGACAAGACAAAAGAAGTTTACTCTGATGATGGCTGGTTCGCAACAGGTGATATTGGACAATTTCTTAGCGACGGGAGTATTCGAATTGTTGATCGCAAGAAAAACTTGGTGAAGCTCAAATCTGGAGAATATGCTGCTCTCGAAAAAATGGAAATGGTATACGGAAACTCATCATTCGTTGATGCAGTTGCAGGAGGTATTTGTTGCTATGCTGATGGGGATATGGACCGTCCAGTTGCTCTGTTTCAACTTTCGAAGCAAGCTACTATGAAGTGGGCAGAGGAAAATGGCATCACTGGCGATTTTGAAACTGTGAAGAAATCAAAGGACTTGTACAATGCGATAATGGCGTCTTTCATTGAAGAACATGCGAAGAGTGATTTGAGTCATATCGAGAAGCTCAAGGCTGCCACCATACTAACGGATCCGTGGACTTCAGAGAATGGATGCTTGACTGCTGCCAGTAAACTTCAGCGTCGCGTAGTCGTCGATTCCTACCCGAAGGAATTTGAAGCCGTCAAGAAGAAGGGTATCTTTTAGATTTCATTATTCGGCCCTGAACTAAATACCTCTACATAAGCTGCATTTTTTGAATAGCATACAGTGTATCCATCTATTGGCGATGTGTATGGTGCACTCCCACTGTATGCACCTGGTATAACTATAGACACTACGAATACATGAATAGGTACTACATCGATATTGCATAGATACCACAAAACTCATGAAAATTTTTATCTGGATGAGATTTGGTTTTTATTTGTTCAATAATTCATCAATTGCGTGGTATTATAAGTGTTTTTTCCCCGATGAATCCTGTACGGTAAGTAGGTACGGTAGCAGTCCAAAGCGAAGCACAATCGTACCGGTACCACCGGGCCATAAAGTGTCGATTGGGACCACCAATGTGGAAAAATAATGGCTGGCATGCACAGTGCGGCCGCCAAGAGTGGCAGCGACCTTTCCCAACATCGTGTGAAGTTTGCATTGTGACGTTGTGAATAGAGCAATAAGGGTACCAGGTACCGGTAAGAAAGAACGAATTTTTAAAAATACTGCAGAGCGGTCGCGGATAACTGACTGACGACTTCTGACGTCACACAATGAGCACAATGAGTCCAGTCAAACTAATCGTTCATCGTCAGCAGATATCATTTCAAATTCTCAATCGTGATGGCGCAAACGACTTCAATGGAACATAGCGGGTGTACGAAGGCAACTGCCATGGTCAGAAACAAAGTGTCAAAGCGAATGATCGCCAGAGACTTTGGCTCAAAGACTTTCATATCCAAGACCGAAAGAAACAATCTCTCACAATCGATCTTTTGTTCGGACTTGTGCCACTCTACTGAAGGACTACCACTGAAGATACCGCAATTGAACCCTATATTCAATATTTGGACCAAGTTCTGAGAGATGAGCGGAACTGTTTTTGTCCCTTTACAGATCCTCCTTGTATCGATAGACATCTTGGTATGTGTCGTTGAATGCATGCCTTCACTTGGAATGCAATGTTTAGTCACTCATATAATGTTTGCCATGTCTGCTTGTGAAGCTGTCAATTGTAACCTTCAAATGGGTAGGAGTGATAAAGAAGCTTCTTGCTAGCGATCCGGTTCGATCTGTCCCCTTGAAAGACGACCCTTCCCATCGCGTGCACGCAGACTTTAAGGAAGCTCGTGTTTCTGTTCCATCCAATGGAGCTCGCACCATGTACGAAATTGCTAACAATGGATTCGTGAAACACTCTGACAAAATCTGCATGAGACAGCGCGAATTCGTCGGTTGGAAAAGTCCAAAAGTCAAGGAATTCTCCAGCAAGGTCCATGAATGGACATTCGCAGATGTTCAGAAGAAGGCTTATAGCTTTGGAGCAGCTTTGAGAGCGAACGGATGCGTGCCATCTGACCCAAGCACGAACCTTGACAAGATCGAGAAACCTTGTCGTATGGCTATTTTCGAAAACACTTGCCCCGAGTGGATGGTATCTTGCGTCGGCGCGTTTTCTCAGAGCATTGGTGTTGTCACTGTGTATGCTACATTGGGCATTGATAGTGTCATCGAAGCCGTGGTTGACAACCTTGTTCCTGTCATAGTCTGCAACAAGACAAACGTGAAGTTTTTGGCCGAAAATGCCAGTCGAATGCCCTCATTGAAGGCAATCGTATACACGAACGACTTGATCGCAAAGGACGACAAGACGGATATTCCAGAGGCACCAAGCGGGCTGAAGATCTTCAGTTTTGATGACTTTGTGAAGAACGGAGATGTAGTTCAGTACCCTGTGTCTCCTCCGAGTACGGACACGACCGCCGTCGTAATGTACACCAGTGGATCCACCGGAAAGCCAAAGGTGAAGACAAGTCCATTGCAACCAATTGTACTCGAAACTATTTGTTTCTAACATTTCTTTTTGTTTTTACGTTTCTGTTTTAATCCTATCTTGCTTCTGGTAGGGCGTCGTCATCACTCATGCTACCGCCACTGGAGGCGTTGCCGCCTTTGATGTTGCGATTGGTCCAACTTCTTCTCATCGCTACCTAGGGTATCTTCCCCTAGCACATATAATGGAACTCATGGTGCAATTTCTATGCTTTGGAAATGGAACTTCGATTAACTATGCCGACCCTAAGAGTCTTACCCAAACTGGAGCTTATCCTATCGGAGCGCTTGAACAATATAGCCCAACACATATGGTTGCCGTTCCTAAGGTTTGGGACACCATCAAGAAGGGGCTTCTCGCCAAAGTTGGACAAACCAGCCCTGTAGCTCAAGTGTTGGTCCATACAGCTATCCAATGGCGTACTTTTGCCGTCAAGCTGGGACTAGACACACCACTGTTCAATGCTCTTGTTTTCAAGAAGTTCAAGAAGGCCGTTGGTGGACACCTCGAAATGGCACTTTCTGGCGGAGGTCCGCTCAGCGGAGAAGTTCAAGAATTTATTCGCGTTGCATTCGATGTCCCGTTGATCCAGGGATATGTACGTATATTCATTGTGTGTTTTGTCATTTCCTCGTTTCTATAAATTCGAATTTCACTAACCTCCACTTCGCAGGGTCTGACGGAAACCTGTGCTGGACTGGCCATTGCCGATGAAGGCGACGGGCGACCAGGAGTTGCAGGTGTGCCCATTGCATCGGTTGAAGTCAAGCTTCAGTCCATTCCAGACGTCTGTGACAAGGGTGGACTACCATACATGTCTACTGATCGCAAGGACGTTGAGGGAAACCCTGTCTGGGGACGCGGGGAGATTCTTGTCAAGGGATCGAATGTCACATCTGGGTACTATATGATGCCAGACAAGACAAAAGAAGTTTACTCTGATGATGGCTGGTTCGCAACAGGTGATATTGGACAATTTCTTAGCGACGGGAGTATTCGAATTGTTGATCGCAAGAAGAACTTGGTGAAGCTCAAATCTGGAGAATATGTTGCTCTCGAAAAAATGGAAATGGTATACGGAAACTCATCATTCGTTGATGCAGTTGCAGGAGGTATTTGTTGCTATGCTGATGGGGATATGGACCGTCCAGTTGCCCTGTTTCAACTTTCGAAACCTATTACGATGAAGTGGGCAAAAGAAATCGGCATTCCTGGCGATTTTGAAACTGTGAAGAAATCAAAGGACTTGTACAATGCGATAATGGCGTCTTTCATTGAAGAACATGCGAAGAGTGATTTGAGTCATATCGAGAAGCTCAAGGCTGCCACCATACTAACGGATCCGTGGACTTCAGAGAATGGCTGCTTGACCGCTGCCAGTAAACTTCAGCGTCGCGTAGTCGTCGATTCCTACCCCAAGGAATTTGAAGCCGTCAAGAAGAAGGGGATCTTTTAGATTTGATTATTTCGATCTCTTCCTCCTCTACTGTAGCTTCCATCTGTGACGTCGGATGCTGATTCTTCATGATTTATTCTGTGAAATTGAGAAGCTGGAACGAAACAGTGTTCGTTTCTATATGTACTTGGGTAATGAATAGATACAAAGCTCATGAAAAGTATCTATTTGGATGACTCTTGAACTATTCCTTCTTCTACCGGTATGCGCAAAGGGGAATCAACGACTATCCCTGGTGACTGACATGACACTCCTTGTGACCGCCTTGTCGTCCTCTCATTAGCGAGTTTCTACAACACCAGAGGCAATTAGTTTCTGAATCTTTGCTGCAACGGATGCGTCTGCCATGGCCTTTTGTGCTGCATTTGGATTCTCGGCAAAGTCTCGAAGGACTTGTTGAATGACTGGGTCGGTGAGGATGGATTGAATTTCAGGATCCGCCATGGCATGCGCTGCTTGCTCCTTCTTTTGTTCATCTGTCATACTTGCTCGTCCGTAGTTGATTTGGGCAGTGACCTTTTGCAATCCTTGTTTGCAAGCGGCATTCGATGGATCAAGCTCCAATCCAGCCTTGTAGGAATCCATTGCCTTGTGGAATTCCTTCATTACCATTTCAATATCACCCTTGCGAGCCCACGCCTTAACGTACTTTGGATCAATTTCAAGTGCCTTTTCGGCTTCCCTTCTAGCCCCGTTAAAGTCCATGATCTTACAAAGTGCCGCACTCAAGTTATTGCGGATAGCAGCATTCTTTGGAGCACGCTTGACAGCCTCTTCGTATTCGGCAACAGCCTTGGGCCATTCCTTGCTTCGGAAAAAGTCATTACCACGTTGCTTGGCTTCGTCAGCTTTCGCGTCATCTTGGTAATCAGAAACGTCCTTTTTCTTTTTCTCCAATTCAATAGTCTTGAGCAACCGCTGTGTTGCCTTGTCATAATTTTCAAGCTGAGCATCCTTGCACATTTCAATGGCCTTGGCAAGGTCTCCTTTCTTTTGGTATGCTTTTGCGCATCTTGTGAGTGCCTTGGCACGATCTTCAAAGGGTCCCATGTTGGCCTTTCCGACTTCGACGGCTTCCATACATAGCTGGATGCACTCGTCGTACTTCTTTTGGGTGAAGTAAACGGCAGCCTTATTGGATAAGAAAGTCATGTTGGTTGGATCGATAGCAATGGCTTCGTCATAAGCAGCAAGTGCCTTTTCAAACTCCTTCTTCTTGTAGAATTCGTTACCAGCCTCCTTCTTTACTCGTGCGTCACGTTCGGTTTCCTTTTTCTTTCTTTCTTCAGGAGACAAATTTGACCAGTCTTCCTCCTTTTCAACAGGTTTTTCTTCCTTCTTTGGCGCGGCCTTTTTCGGTGCTGAGGCTGACGACGAGGATCCTCCTTCTTCTGGTTGCTCTCCACCCATCATCATGCTCAACATTTCCATCATCTTTGGATCGTTCATAATCGTTGGCATAAGGCTGGGATTCTTTTGAACCAATTGGATCTTTCCCATGACATCAGGATCATTCAAATATTTTCTCAGTCTTGGGTCCATGGCCATTTGTGCCATCATTTGCGGGCCAAACAAGCCTCCTGGGGCACCACCGCCTGCACCACCAGGACTTCCATAGGGATTTTCCTTTTCACGCTGGACATCGGCAAGGCCCTTCTTCAAACCAGCATCATCAGGGAACTTGCCCAAACCTTCATTGTAAATGGCAATGGAATCATTGTAGCGTTTCAAGGAATGCAATGCGGCACCCTTTCGAGAATATCCCTTTGCAAAGTCAGGATTCAACCCAATGCAAGCATTGGCATCTTCCAAAGCGTTATTAGCATCTCCTTGCTTCAAGTAGGCAGCAGAGCGATTGGAATAGTAGACATGGTTGGAACCGTCAGCATTGATAGCCTTTGTGTAATTCTCAATGGCTTTGTTGGTGTCGCCCTTTTTCAGAGCTTCATTTCCAGCGGCTTTGAACTATTTTGATGGTGGAGCGAAGAGACGACAATGTTAGTTTCAGATGATCCACTTTATGATTCTTATTGAGCGTGGCTTGTAGACGGGGGTACAATGACTTACTTCTTCGGCAGTCGACATGGTTGAGTATGTTGTCGTTTTGTGGAGTGATTTTGATACCCACAACACTTGACTGATGTTGTGTTTTAGAGAGTTTTGGAATCGGATCGAAGATTTGTGGCGCCAAGGCCACGACAAAACCACGTAGAAAACTACGGATGAGAACTGTTGAATCTTGAATCTCCCCCAATTTCAAATTCCCTACTCGAAACTCGAAACCCCGACGATCGATGATAAAGCAAGTCTCATGGATCCAAGCAATAAGTTGATCATTTCGCTATCTTACATTCAAAAATATCCTTTCTGACAAACAATACAAGTATGGATATGCTATGTTGCATAATATAAGTTGCAAGAGAAGTGCTGGGTAATGGAAAATAAACTTTAAGTAGAGCGAACTTTAGAGCGGGTTTTGTAGACCATAGCGCATGTGGTGTCCTCTCATAGCACAGTTCTCGGTCTCAATTGTCCACTCCTTTATTCTATTTCACATCCAAGAACACACCCCCGTTGACTTTCAAAGTGAGCAAAGCCGATCCTCTGGTGAATGAATTAATGAATTCATCCATCAATCCATCTAATGCCATCAATGATCGTGTAACCTAAACGGGTGCACGTCGATTGTTGCCGCCTCCAAAACTGGCAAAAAAGTTCTCTATCGCTGGATATCTCAAAATGTCTCCAATTACTGGGGTATCCTGCATTGCTTGAGCCGCAATGGGGAAGAACTGTCCAAACAAATAGACCATACCATACAATTGACAAATCATACCCAACATTGGCCAACGCACCATGACCAAGACAATGCCACCAAAGAAGGAAACAATTCCGCGGATTCTGTCTTTTCTGGAAAAGAATCGAAGCGTTCTGGATGGGCCTGAATAATAATATGAAAGTGTTGCGGTGTTAGATCCTTGTCGTCGTCGTTGTGACAGACCAACCAACCAAACAAAAGTATACAGTACACATGTTGTCTTTGAAATCTTACCAATGGTCAATGTCAAACCAATCAGGAATAGAATATCTCCAAGGGCAAGTAGGGCAGCATCGAAAAAGAAAATGACTCCCAGAAAGAGAAAGACAATTCCCTGCAGTACGGTAGAGGAGCAAGAGTGAGTCGAGACTTTTTGGTTGGACATAGGGGAAAGATAATAATGAGAACCAAAAGTTTCCTGCATGTTCAACGTACAAGAGCTAATAGACCTGTTCCAATTTTGGCATTGTCACTGATCATTGTGGAATGATTGTTCGTTGTGGGGGTGTGTTTGAACCTAGAGTGTCGTGGTGTTATAATAACGCAATGCCTTTTCTGGTTGAGCTGGGACTTTTCAAAACGAATCACGCCATTTCCGCGGTTCTAAATCCCGCGTGGTCCGAAAACACTATCTAAGCTCTATTTCATATGGAATTCAGAATCTCATTTGAGGAAGTGATCATAATTTTTAGATAAATCATCACAGACGTCACAAATTTTGGACCAAAGCATTTTCCCTCACAAAATCACGTATCTGGAAATACTTTCTATATCCCGAACAACATAGTGACAAAGCCAATTTTGGAGAGCCTGTCAAAGTTAACTACAACAATCTGATGGGCGTAACCCAAAGTCATCGGCGTCCCCCCCCCACCCAACTGCTGTCCCACTATTTGCCAACGTCCAGGAATGCGGCTGAATGCAAAACCTTTGCCAATCACCAAAGTGATAAAGCACATGGCGTGGTATCCATGATAAATTCCTCCCTCCAAGGATCAAAAATTGTCAATGCATAGCTCTGACTGACGACTCCTCCGAAATTCAATGGATGAGTCCTCCTCCTCCTCATGCGACGACGCTTCAAGAAGACTATGGATTCGTCTCGGATAGCGTGTCGCACACTCGAGAACACTTTCGGTTAGTCTACGACCCAAATAGCGCAAAATATTACCAGATGATTTCAGCTGGATAATCCGGATGTCCCTGTTACAGCGTTGGACCTACTAGAGCTATATGTTGGTGGTGGGTTAGTCCTCCATGTCGATTGCAAAATGTCATTGACATTGGCGGCTGATCGGATACGCTTCCTCCATGGGTGAAGAAGAATCTGAAATAGAAAAATACGAGTACTGTAGATAGAAACATCATAGTAGTACCCATACCGAATGGAACAGTTCGAACCCTCCTAGTTCGGAAGTTGTAGCCCAAAAGTGATCTTGGCCAAGACCCGTCCAAGACACGCGTCACTCACACGGTATTGTTTTTACAATCATTTTAATCGCGCAGGTTCAATTTTTTAAAAATGGGCAAGACCCCGCATTTAACGTCCAAGACACACAACACTCACGGTGGTATAAATTTATACCGTCCAAAAATTACTCTAAAAAAGTAAATAATGTATTGTACCAGACCTGTCAATTTCAGACCCTCGGCTTGTCACATTCTTGACAGAGACGTGCATGACCAGCACAATTGTTCATCGTTTCCACCCATACAATCCAAATATCTATCTTGGGTGTATTTTGCTTGCTCGAAGACACAACAGCTAGCTCTAACTACAGTCACTACCCTCAAAATTTCAAAAGTAAAATGTTTGTAAAAATCGTCCTTTCCTGTGCATTCTTTCAGGCTGTTGCTCGTGCCAATTACTGCAACCATGACGGTTGCTCAGGCGTCCCAATGGGATGCTGCGACGATGATGCTTTGCAGTATTGCAATGCCAATTCTGGCCAGTGCTCTGGTCCTTGTGCAGGGCAATGGTGTGACGGATCGTTCTCGTACTGCACATGGAGTACTTGCGATGGAGTCATTCGTTCGACGGAATGGTGCAATGCTGGACAGGCAAATTGTGAGGGGAGCTGTGGAGGAATGTGGTGTACAAACGGCGGAAGTGTAAGTACTGGCCCCACGACACCAGGTACCACCCCAGCACCTGCACCCCTTCCTGTCCCAACCACTGCTCCCATCAATCCGAGCTCTGGATCCGCCACGACCACAAGATATTGGGATTGTTCCGGTGGCGCCTGTGGATGCGCCTATCTGCCATTTGGACCAGGAACAGACAGTCAACCTTCTCATTGCCACTCGAATGCCATGTTTGCTGCACCAGCTGGGAACCACCATGATGCCACTTTCTATGGCACCGCTGCCGTCTCTCAAGAACTATTTGGCTACAATACTCAGTGGCTTGGACCTGGCTGTGGAACCTGTTACAAGTTGACTGGAACCTCCAATATTCCAGGGACACCAACCACTACCACCACCATTGTGCTCAAGGCAGTAAACCTGTGTCCACCCGAAAACCCAGCATGTTCCGGCGATAAGGTTCATTTTGATATTGCAGCACCCGGATTTGATGTGACCCAGTTTTCGTTTGCCCATGTCTGTCCTTCCCGTGAATCCGCTGACGACGCTGGCTTCTCGGCTTGTGAATTCTGGATGCTCAACAGTCAAGATCCGACCCAAAATTGCGACTGTAGTGCCTTTGACAGCCCGGTATTGGAAGCCGGCTGCAACAACTTTTTGAGTCTCAATTGGGACAACCCTACGGTCCAATATGAGCCGGTTGAATGTCCCTTTGAATTGAAACGCCTCAGCTGTTGGGAGGAAAATGGAAACCAGTATCCATTTGGCATTCCCGAGTTTTGTGAGAGCAATGTAGACGACAGCCCCGAGGCTCCGGTTTCTGCTCCAGTTGAAGCACCAGTATCGGCTCCAACCGAGGCTCCAGTTTCTGTTCCAGTTGAAGCGCCAGTATCAGCTCCAACCGAAGCTCCAGTACCGGCACCAACTGAGGCGCCGGTGCCTACCGGTACTCCAACTCAAGCTCCAGTTCCCTCACCCACCAACGCACCCATCGGAGGCGGTGGCTCCTTCTGCTGCTCCAGCAACTACAAAGATTGCAATGTGGGTGGATGGTGTGGAGAAAATCAATCGCGATGTGAGGGCAGTTGCAAGGATATGTGGATCTTACAACAAGGTCACTGCTCCTCTGATGGAATTGCAAAATACGGCGAATGTACAACTAATGTCAACGGATGCTGCGCTCCCGGCATTTGCAAAGGCAATCAATATTACAGACAGTGCTTGTAAATTATAACTTCAAAACTCCCGCATTGTGGGATAACCATCATAATTGGAAGTTCTGGGGACTTCTCTTGGCGTACCAATATTTTATATATTGTAGTATTGGCATTCCAACCATCGTAGTGACCGACGAGACATTTCACAATGACAAGGGTTTATTGAATGATGTTGCTTTCCAGAACATCCCCCTCATTATCGTGACTGATGAAACATCCCATGATTGCAAGTCTCTATTGAACATAGATGCGCCACTAAACATCCTCTCTGTATTGGTTATTGAAGAAACATCCCAATTTGAAATGTCCTCGTTGAAGGAAGTGCGATCGATGAACAGTTCGTACATACTGGTCACACCTACACCAGAACACCAGTCGCCAATGGATCCATAAGTGCTCTTGACGGATGCCTTTGACTGAAACCAGTTGCCAACTGCACCCGTGAGTTCGCTGTTCGTCTGAAAACAACGCCTTGTCGGTGATGCTGTGGGGAAAGGGATTGGCATCGGAGTAGGAGGTGGGGTCGGAAGGGGTGTTGGACGTGGCGTTGGATTGGCTGTAGGAAGTGGGGTTGGAATGGGTGTCGGCCGTGAAGTTGGTATGGGTGTAGGACGCGCGGTTGGGTTCCTGCGATGATGGGTTCAAAAATGGATTTAAAGATGGATTCAAAGATGGCACTTCACTTAGTTCAATAGATGGCAATATGGTGGGTGCAGTGGATGGAGGAGGTGTTGGGCCTACCACAGGAGCCAGTGTTGGTGACAAAGAAGGCATAGAAGAAGGATCGAGACTTGGTATATCGGATGAGACTGCAGTTGGACGTGCAGATGGGTGAGGAGTCGGATCAACTACGGAAGCCGTACTTGGGGTAATTGATGGCGATAGCGTAGTTCTTGATGGCGATGGACTTGGAGCTTGTGTTACTGGGCCTACAGCTGGCATTCGAGTAGGATTCGAAGTTACCGCTTTGGATGGGGAGGATGTTACCTGCCCCAAAGCTGGCATTCCAGCAGGATTCGAGGTTGCCACTTTGGATGGAGCCGATATTACCTGTCCTCCAGTTGGCATTCCAGTAGATTTCGAAGAAGGAACTTCGCTGGGAACTGATGATGGTTTTGGGTTTGTAGCCGTTGTTGCTGACTGATTATCAATATTGATCAAATGCACTTCAGCGAATTGATTGCCAAATCCAAACGGACCTTTCAAATTAGCATCATCTTGCCCTTCCGCTTGTAGCTTTTCTGCTACTGTGTCAAGGGTCAGAATAGTGATATCCAAGAGTTGGACGGGCCCCTTCAAAGTCACAGATACCGTGACCACGATTCTTTGACACAGGTTCAAATCCTGAGTGATAACACAGAACTCATCCGGATCCAGTGGCAAATGCATTGAAATGCTATAACGACTTCCTCCAATAGCAAGTTTTTTTTGCTGTGCGGCACCTCTGAACATTGGCTGTCCATACTTTGCCAATCCGCGGCGATTGACCGTCGGACTAGGGCAAACAGCCAAAGATGGAAGGAGCTTCCCTTGCGTAACATCCAAGAGAGATTGCACTTGTTCTTCGGCGATATCGCCACCCGTTTCCAAAGTGACATCAAAGGCCATGTCAAACTGGAGCTGATCCAAGTCTTCCTGTCTAGTGATGGTTTCATTCCTGGAGATAGCAAGACAGTCTTCTTGACTAGGTGGATCGTATAGCTGGGTTACGGTTGGACCACTTGTAGGTGCATCGGATACATTGATGTTTTCATCAATGGATGTAGATGATGGTGCTGTAGTTAGATCTTCAGTACTACCTGTTAGCGTCGTAGAGTTCTTGATGCTTTCATCCTTTTGAAGGGCAAAATGGGTGCCGACTCCGGCGGCGGCAACCATAACAAGTATGCTCATGCAAATCATAGCAGTAATCATTCGATTTCTTCGTTCCTTCCGTCTTTTCTCTGCTACTTCTCGTTGCGCTTTCTTAGCTTCAGGTTGCCGATTAAGCTCCTCCATTTCTTGTCGACGTTGCTTTTCCTTTTGCTCAAACTTGCGTTCAATTTGCACAACTTCTTGTGCTGCTGAGTTATCATCCACAGTTGTCGCCACCAGAACATCGCCTTCCTGATTGTCGGCCTTGGCAGGTACTGGGGATAGGTTGGAGGGCATTCTAGCCCTTTCTCCCTTTCTTGATTTGCGAGAAGTCCTCGCATCTTTGGGAACAGCGCCAGGCTTCGATGCGAGGCTACTTCGTTCCTTCTTTCGAGCAACATGATTCTTGCCAACTTTCTCAGGAATCGCGCCTGGTTTGGATGCCTTCTGACTGCTTCGCTCCTTGCGTCGTTCACCAGAATGCCTGCTGGAGTTGGTACAAACGGCACCTGGTTTGGATGCCTTCTCACTGCTTCGCTCCTTGCACCGCTCACCAGAATGCTTGCTGGAATTGGTAGAAATGGCACCAGGTTTGGTTGCCCTAGAACTGCTTCGCTTCTTCCTGTGATCCCTTGAGTCTCGGACAGGTGATCTTTTGGATCCATCAGTGAGTCCGCGGCGAGGTCTAGGACTAGAGATGCGAATCTCTCGAATATTTCCACTGCTTCTCTTACTTGACTCAAGGTCTGTGGAAAGATTGTCATCATCTTCTCTTGCTTTTGATCTTGCAGAAGATATCCCAGAGGCTCGTTACTTACGTATTGCCGAGGAGGATTCGTTTTCTGTCTCCGCCATGGTAACGATTGTGAATGCAAGAAGAGTATTTTATGCCGCTTTTGGGGGTTTTCTTTTTGGCAGGAGGCGCACCACGAACTGCGAAAGCTCACGTTTCCACACCCACTAATGCAACCGTCGGAGGCAGTGGATCCTCCTTTTGCTGCTCCAGCAACTACAAGGATTTTAATGTGGGTGGCTGTTGTGGAGAAAAGCAGTTGGTGCAATGATGTGAGGAGAGCAATTGCAAGGAGGATACATAGTAGGTATGTGGATCTTACAGCATGAAGGAGGTAACTGCTGGTGCCCCCCTGATGGAATTGCAAAATTCGGCGATTGTACCCATAATGTCAACGGATGCTGTACCCATGGCCTTTACAAGTCAACGGATGCTGCATCCGTGGCATTTACAAAGGTGAAAGACAGTGGTTGTATTCACTTGCATGATGATCAGGTATGCATGCATGACGATGGTGATCCGATGTCGAACTATTCGAATGGAACATAATTTGAAATCCTACAGTACGAGATCCCGTGGCACCGTACCATTTTAATTGGAAATGTTGCCGTCAGCAGAGACCAACACCACGATGCCGATTAGAGGTTGAAAATCCTGCCCGAAGAAAGACTTCTGGTCGAAGACGTCATATCATTATCATTCGCAATTTTCTCAACAATTCAAAATTTGTGTTGTCTTTCCATTACACAGTGACATTTCTATTTAATCCCTTCGCGACCTTTGAATAGCTTGCGTAAGCGACCGTCACTTAAGCACATCAGTTGGTGACGTCAGTGAACTTCCAGAAGGGTCCAGAGTTTTGACGACGAGGTCGGGGTTTTTGAGAGGTCCTCGGTTTCAAAGCTCGCTTTTTCACCATCATCCAGAACCGGCAACGAGAAAAGCAAGCTGCTGCTGCCTGATCAGATACGATCGGATCCATAATATATAATCACTCATTGCATCTTCGCACAATTGTGGCTGTTGTCTGATACAACTCATTCACTGACTGCAACAACAGCCCTTCACACATCATATTGCCCATTCAGACAGCAACCAAACTATCTATAGAGCATTTGAATCAATCGCTAATACGATTGACGTCATCAGCATCAACATCAACGAAATCACACCCACCTGCTACTACTAGTAATAATAACACGTATACAATAATGTCTGACACAAAGGCAATGCGAGTCGCCGGTAACACCCTTACCAAGGAAGAACAAAGGCAGCTTCTGGAGGCCATCCTTCCAGCCTGTCAACCACAAGAAGGAACCCCACAGAACACCTTCACTCACAGTGAATTGGAACAGTTGAAGAGTGCCATTGCCAATCTCGAAATTGGGCCTCGCGCCAAGAAGGAAGAGACTAAGCCCTCCAATACAATCGATATTCGCGATTTCCAATCCTTTTCCGCACCACCACAAGACGGTTTTGATGAGTGCTGTCCACCACAAGATGGTGATTCTGATGAGTGTTCACCTCAAGATGGCGGAGACATGACATGCTTCAAGGAAGAGGAGCCATTGGATTGGTATGGATCACCCCGATTCCATCCCCAATCCTACCTTGCTAGAGAGTTCCGAGAGACTGTCCGATCTGGAAGATTCACCACACCTACCAATGGTGTCTGTCCCGGTTTTTTGCAATGCAACTTGGTGGTGCTACCACAGGGACCTATTGCTTTTGACTTTTTGCTGTTTTGTCAGCGCAATCCCAAGGCATGTCCATTGATTGACGTTTGCGACGTTGGATCTCCCTATTGCCCAGGAGTGGCACCCGGAGCAGACCTGCGAACAGATGTACCAAAGTAAGTACACGTACATGTCCTGTGATATGATACCACAGTATCTCCTGCAACTTGAAAGTGAATTATAAAGTCTCACATGATTCATTTCTCTCTTTCCTTTCCTTTCCTTTCAGATACGCTATTTACCGAGATGGCAAGCTAGACAAGGAGGTGACTGATATCACAGACTATTGGCCCGAGGAATCGGTTGCCTTTTTGATTGGATGCAGTTTCTCCTACGATGGGGCTCTCATGAATGCTGGCATTCCATTGAAGAGTGCCGAACAAGGCAAGAATGTTCCCATGTACCACACTGGTCTGAAGTGCCGTCCAGCTGGCGCTCTCAAGGGAAACATGGTGGTTTCCATGAAGCCCATTCCTGCCATGCAAGTTGCCAAGCACATTGAGATCACCAACAAGTACACCCATGCCCATGGGGGGCCTGTCACAGTGGGAAGTGCTGCTTCCATTGGTGTCAAGGATGTTAGCAAACCGGAATGGGGAGATTCCATTGACATTGCTGACAATGAAGTGCCAGTCTTTCATGCTTGTGGAGTGACACCCCAAGCAATCTTGATGGAAAGCAAGGTGCCCTTTGCTATTACGCACGCTGCTGGACACATGTTTGTTACTGACCTGCCTTCCGATTTGGGAGTCTAAATAGAGCTGTTGTTGCTGTTGTTGTTTGTGGAACGAATTGTATGCAACCAATCCACACAAGGTGATAGACCGTTTGATGCATGCACACTGCATGCCGTCTGTTAATTTTAAAATACCCCACGCTTTAAAAGTAAGCGCTGCTGCTGCAAGTACAAAATGACGAAACCAATAGAAATTCTGAATGAAAATAAACCTAATGAATACTGTATCTTACTTATGAAACTAATCGCTCAATCAAATCCGCCTTTTTTCCTGATACCTTCAAGCCTCGATCACGAAGCATGTCCTTCAGCACGGGAACAGTCATTTTTTGCAGCGATGTAGGATCCAGACTGGAGCCCGAACTTTGTGTTGGAGCAGCAGGGGCTTCCTCAATTGTGGTGGCGGTCATTGTTGGCGCGACAACCGCTGGTTCGACTTTCATTTCATCAACATCAACATCAGTTGCAGCAGCAACAGCAACATCCTCCAACTCGGCAAAGAAGCCATCCGATTCCTCTCCTAGCTCGGATTGCAAATCTGCAAAAAAGTCATCGACACTTGCCCTGTCAGATGCTTTCGTCAAAGTTGAAGTTGGTTCGATCTGCAATTCGGCATCCAACTCTTGCTCCAAGTCTGCAAAGAAATCGTTTGCAACTCCTTGATTGGGACCTTTGGCAGAAGCTGGTGGCAAAGTGGTGGTGAGTTCTGTTTCGAGTTCTGCTTCCAAGTTGGCAAAAAAATCATCGGCATCTCCCTTTGCAGCAGCTGGTGCTCGTGATGGGCGGCCGCCACTCTTGTCGTGGTCGCCGTCAAAACTTGCAAGATCAGCAAAAAAGTCGTCCAAGCTTTCATCACTGGGAGGAGAAGTCTTCTTATTGGCTTTCTTCTTTGGTGGTTTATCCTCTTGGAGTTCCATTTCCAACGAGGCAAAAAAGTCGTCTTCATCGCCTGGCTTGGCAGCCTTCGGAGCCTTGTTGGCCTTGGACGACTCGTCGTCTTCAATCTCGTCCATCAACCATCCAAAGAAGTCCTCACCATCCCCACCGTCATTCGATTGGCCAACCCCAGAGTTTTCATTCTCCAATTCATTGGATAGGTCATTGTAGAGGGAATCAAAGAAATCATCCGTGTCCTGCTTTTTAGCCGAATTGTTTGCATTGGAAACGAATTTGCTCCATTCATCGCCCGAATTGGCTTGCTTGTTGTTTTGGCGTGGTTGTTGTGGCCTTCCCCATTGAGCATCAACATCTCCTTCCGTATTGGATGATCGACTAGCTCCTCGAATGTCAGTTTTTCCATCAGAATATGCTCCACCTTGCCCTTTACGTTCGTTATCCTTGTACCAATCCCAGTTCTTGCGCTCTTGATCTTGATCTTGCAGGGAGTTACCCCGGCTGAACCGCTGTTCGTTACGATCTTGTCGACGGTTGCGTTGGCCAGGAGCTACACCCATGGTGTTCTGGAGATTTCTTCTCTGGTCGCCTCGATTCTCGCCATAGTCATTTCGGTCCCTGTTGTCAGGTCCATCAATGTCACGCTGGGTGATGGGTGCAGATGGTCCTCCTAGTCCTTTCAAAACTTCTTCATCCGAAAGCTTTCTCACTTCACTAGGATCGAGCCACTCTTCGAACATTGTGCCATAGGTGTAAAAGCGGAGAAAGATCTTGTTATCCTTCAGCCGCCTTACTATTCCATCTTCGTCAAAGAACTTGTTCTTCGCTGTAACTTTGATCATATCGCCCACTCTCAAACCCTTGTATACAGTCTGAACTACCTCCTCAATTGCTGCCGCTTCCTTGTCCTCGTTATCATCACCTGCGTCCACAATAATATCCTCTTCTTTCTCTTCTTCGTCTAGCTCCTCAATGTTTTCCAAACCAAAGTTTTCGATTTCATCTTCATTCAAAGGCAAGGGCGCTGGCGGCAACTTTTTGTGCCCCCTTTGATTCACGGTCCCCATCCAAGAACGACACAAGTCAAGTCCTGAACACACCAAAAGTGTCAGTATTCGAAACTCCGGTTTCTTCCTAAGACAAATTTGGGCATACCTTGAATCGCCGAATACGTTTCCTCGGTGAGTCTAAGCTTTCCAAAGACATACCCTTGATACTTGACTTTGACATCGGTAACCATGCGGTTGGCACCATGAGAGCGATGTGATGTTTGCATAGGTACAACGAGTTTTACAACGTCATCCATGTCTTCGGAAGCTTGTTTGCACTGCCGTAGCAAGTCCAATTCCAAACCTGCGACGCAGTTGATAACATACCACATGGGTTCTTCGTCTTCTTCGATTTCCATTCGTTGCCATAGGTTGACGAAAAGCTGGGTGCGTTGGTTGCGATTGTTGCAGCTGACTCCCATATTTTGTCCATTGATCTGCTTATTTGGCAACAGACCATGGGCCCGTAGTAGAGTGCTCAGCAAGAGCACCGAGTTGAGAATATTCATGTTGGTTTTTGCTGTTGCTGGATTCTAGGGCTTTGAAATCGCAAAGGGATGCTTCCAAACTGATGCAACTGCAAGGATACTTCTATTACCGATGACTTTGTTATCGTACTGAGAATCACAATCGCCAAACTTTGGAAAATGGTTAGCTTGAACTTTTGTTCCAATTTTAAATTTCGACCATCGATGTTTTGGGTGGTTTGATGGGTGCGTGCGTGATGGCGAAGAATCACAATAATCGGACGACGTGCAGAAGTACGGAAATGAAGAGTAATACTTTGCCAGCTACAGTACGAATACTCCTACCAACTCAATCTACAAGTACATGCGGTAGCATATGGTTCTTTCCCGTCCAAATAGTACTAACTTCCAATTTACAATTCCTGCTATGCTGACAGACAATCAAACTTCTTTGAATGTCCATCCAGATCCCAGCCGTCGATTGGTTCACTCATGCTGGCAAGTTCTTCCCAATCGATACCTTCCGAAACGGCGGAGTCCTCTAATGCTATTGCTTCGTTGTCAGATATTCCTTCTTCGATTCCGTCACCCTCAGCTTCTACTGACACTGGCTTTTCTTCTTTGCGGGTTGGCAAAGTGACACTGGCAGTCGAGTCTTGGCCGTGTCGAGATGACTGCTGCGACACTGCTACCGGGCCTCCCCTAGCATCATTCATGACGGCTCGTTCCTTGATCTTTTGCTGTCTTTCCAACAGCTTGCGTTTCCTTTCCTTCTCCATCTTTTTCGTTTGGCGCCACTTGACGAATCTGGGCCGAGTATACACCAACATATTCAACCATCCTTGTAGCGGTGCCAATATCGACACTGCCATCCAAAATCCAAGTCTTGAGAGTCAGCCCTCATGACACCAACTAAGATGATAAGCCAAGTTAAGTACATACAAAAGAGATAGAACGCGGATTGCCAAAAGACTGCGGAAGCCGCAGTGTCTTGAAACAATGGGCTGTTCTTGAGGCAATCGCAGCTGACTATCTTCTTTTGTTCTTTCTCCTCCAGTTCCTCTTGTTGTGATGTATCCATGCTGAGTCGGCTAGTGTCAATTGATGACGACTTGAAAGTATACACATCCTTTTTGGAACGTTACTTAAGCCGATGATGCATGCTCCACTGTTGGGCCTTGCGAGCAGTTGTCCGCACACTCCAGTAGACTCGGATCTGGCAGACTGTAGAAAAAACAAACGTAAGGACAATAGGTGCAAAAGAGAATCCAAAGGCACTCCAATCGTCTGCGTACGGTCTTGGCAGCATCCAGCAGCCTACCCAGATCGAACCGTAGAACGGAATGCCACCAAACGCCAAAACCATAGCGCAGATAACTGGCACTATTAACAAGTATGGGCGAGCCTTTTTCAATTGATATTCTTTCCAACCATGGACAACCACCAAGACGTAATATATCGACAATGAGTTGTTGAAGAATCCACTCCCATATCCAAGCATGACAAAAAATCCTATCCAAGTAGAGTTCAAAGGTGAGCAATGATTCCAGACGACCACTCGATTTCCATCATCAATCACAATTCATCTTCATATTTCATACCTTGTGCTGTGCAGAGACCGTCGTTGCCGGAAGCACCCACAACGTTGGAATCAAATCCATTCAGATCAGTTGTCGGTACGGGTGCAGCACCAATCACCCATCCCATGGCGGTGGTGAAATCAAACATTGACATCAAAAACATGATTTGTCGATACAAATTCTTCTTGCTCTTGCCACGGATAAAGTCTTGGAATATAAAGAGGGAACCCATCAAAGACAGAATACCAGATACTCGCGCGGCCCAGTGTAACGCTAGAATATCGGATCTCGATTCGGCCCCCAGGTATCCATAGAACCCATCGTTACAACCACACTCCCAGTTGTGCTCCTGCCCCAAGAAACATTCTTCGGAATCTTGTGAGAACTGTAGCAACACAGCTTCCACTTGCTCGCAGGTTACATCTTGACCATAGCGTTTCAGCGTATTGCTGTGCTTGCGAGTCGGAGTGGTAATGGCTTCTCCGGCCTTTGGACAAAAAACACAGCCATTCTCTACAGAAGGACATCCACAATAGCTGCCAATCAATTGGGCATCTGCACAGTCTTGAGAGTCCATCGCCAAGGCACTTGTCGCTGCTTCCAATTGCTGACAGGTGGGTTCAATTCCAAAGAACCGATCCGCCATGAAGGGAACTAGTTTGTCGGGCGTCGTGACGCTGCTCGCATCTTTGCACAGAGTGCACATGGGAATATCTTCGCCAGCGGAGGATCCTCCACTATCGTTACATCCACACACGGGCCCAGTGACACTTTGCACTTGGGCGCAATTCGGATCCGATTCTTCCCACAATGTCGCTGCCGCTTCCTGAACTTGTTCGCAGGTCAGTGATTCTCCTAATTCGATGGTAGCATTAGGACTCTGCACGCAAATGGGGCAGGGATTAGAAGGAGGAACCCATTCATCAGCGCTGCAACAATACTCCTTGGTCCAAGCCTGACTCAATTGGCATGTTAGATCGTCTGATTCGATGGACGAATTGAAATAGGTTTGCAGCAGTTTACAGTTCACGCCTTCGTAGTTGACGCTCTCGTCCAAATAAGAAAGCGGAAGCTCTTGTTTTGACTCTGGTACTTGGTTGCCATCGCCGCAGAGCTGACAGGGGTTAGTCGCTTGCGAAGGACAACCGCACGCTGTCGATACTGAATGTAGCAATTGGCAGTTGGGATCTTCCAAAGGATACAGCGTTCCCACCAATCCCGAAATGACAGCACAGGATTAAACTCCAAAACCTGGGACATGCAGCTCTCCCGTTGGATTTGAAATGGGAGAACCATCAGGGCATACTGTACATCGGGCTTCTTGCAATTCTCGAGCTCCAACTGAAGCGACTGACAGGAGGCTCAATTGCAAAAGCAGTAGCAACTGTAGTGGCATCTGAAAACGAGAGGTTGTATTCATCATCGTGTGACCTGACGCGCTTTACAGCTGACGTTGATAAAGTGACCAGTTTTTATCAGAATTCGAAGAGACAATTCTGAACGAACGAGGCATTGACATTACGAATGATACTGACAACGTCATTCAAAATGCCAGAACTGTATATTTAGAAAGTGCTTGCGGTAGCTTTGTACATAGGTACGAAATTCTGACGTTTTTTCTAACGCACCACATTTTGGGCTACGCCTATTTGGTACCATATATCAGTAAGAAATGATCTTCCTGGTGCTAGCTTTTTGGTATGAAGTGAGACTTGCCAAGTGGTGGGTTGTGGTGTGAAGTTGGCCATTCGGATCGCGTGC